ATATTAATGCCCTTGGATTTAGAATGGGATCATAAAAGCTCCTGTAGATGTCCCAATACTTTTGTCCATATCCGTTGTCCATATGGCAAAACCACAGGCCAACTTTGGGCAGCCATGGTATAAAGATGGTCTTCATTTTTTTGCAGAACAAGACTGTACACACAGCCATATCTTTATAGCAAATTTATATCATAATAAAATATCCTCTCTTCTGCTTACAAACACAAATGTGGTCTGGACTTAAAGTTTAGAATCTACTCTTCTTTAATGAGCTGTGAGTCAGAAAGAATTAAACAAATTGTAGGAAAATACATATTAAGGTGTGTTGTGGGAACTTGGGTATCAAAATTCAGTACGTTTATGACATTGACCGCATTACTCAATACTACTACTGAGTATTGAAACATTCTGTGTCGTTCAGTATTAAATTTCAATACTTAACTAGTCAGTCGAAGCATCAGTGAGCCAAAAATGTTTGGCTCAAAATCTGCGATGCTGATTGGCCGCTGTCTAATTTGCATCCCATTTGCAAGTTATTAATGTCGGCTCTGCTTGACTGGTCTGTAATCCAGACATACTGAATTCCAGCACCTCACATTCATCTCTGGTTTAAGCCACACCCACTTAGTTAAAAGAAAGTATTGACCAAAGTATTGTTTAGGAATTTATATTGCATTCTATTGGTAGGTGTCAAAGGTATTGATATCAGAAACTTGTGAACAAAACTCCATAATACAGTGTCTTTGTTCGTTTTCTAATGCTGACAAAGTATTAATAGATATAAAAATAGCTTGATGCTTTGCCAAAGGAACAGTCGCTCGACATCTGAAGCTGAAGCAAAGAAGGAAAAAGCTGAAGTACTTAATTCTACATTGGTGCTCCAGTTTTTCTGCTGGGAGTGTTTGTAGCTGAGTTGTTTTTGCCATTTTGGCCATCCGGAATGTTTACCTCCAGACTTCGAGCATAATCCTGAAACACTGAATTCCCTGAAACACTGCTAGGCCAATCTGCCCAACCTCTGGAGACTGCTAGTGAATTAAAGCTCCGGTTGAAAGCTGCTACTGCAATAACTGTGGCTTTCAAACTGCATGTACAAAGACATAAGTCTGCATCCACTAAAATGTACAATATATACGTTTATTATGTTCTCGTTTAATAAACTCGCAGCTCTAGTCCTGAGGAGACTGTGGCTGTTCCAGCCAGTCCTGATTGAGGCCGTGAATATTTAATGCTTTATGTATATTTATGAATCAGATGTTTATGTATTGTCGTGGCTGTGAGTCATGCTCATGAAGCTGAGATTGTGGCTGGTCGTATTGCACGCTGCACGCCGCACACTAAATGTAATACATGCAAAATATATTGCAGTGCATTGTGTTTACTTTTTGGAACGCGTCGACAACATATGGTAATATAGGCCAATTTAAAGTGCACTCTGCTGGTACAGAAGCACGGATAGCAGTTAGGGGGTTAGGACTGTGTTCTGGCAGTTCTGGTAGAATGATACAGATATTACTGTGCTGTGTGAAAAGACAGATATCAGTATGTTAGAAGACATCGTATGTATCAGCTGGGAAAAAATAGGGTAATACTTTATTTGAATAGTCCACTTTAGATTCGTTTTAGATAATTAATGTACTTTCAAGTTACATTCAACTAAATATCTTCTAAACTGACCATAATTTTCTTTAACTTTAAACCTGGCTCTAATCCTAATCCTAACCCTAACCTTAACCTCAACCCAAAACTTAAACCCAACTCTAACCCTGGTCCAAGTCCTAACCCTAACCCCACCACTGTTTAGAATCAACTGAGTTTCAACAGATAGTTTGTTAACAATTTGAACGTCTGTAGTGGAATATCCAAATAAAGTGAGACCAAAAACAGTCTTTTTATGTTGTTGGTCAACCAAATGGTCTAATTTTTTTAAAGCTGGACTATGTTACATTGAAAGAAGTAGAATTACTGAGTTAACACCTTAAAATATGGTGTGTGTGCCCTGTAAAACCTGAAATAATACACATTATTACAATAAAAGTCAGAGGTGTCGGATTAGATCTCGCAGACCACGTCATACGTCTTTACAAATTAACGTCACACGCACAGCCTCAAAAAGAAGGTCCAGCTTAATGTTTAGGTCTCACATGCAAAATCAACATTATACCGATGAAGATATGATAACAACAGCAGATAATTCACATGCGTCCTCAGAAAACACGTCCTTCACCAAGGTTTGACTGAGTTCTCTCTGAAGACTCTTTAACACACTTACAATCGTCAGATTCATCCCCTCGGGGAAGGGGTTCGAAGCACATCCCCCATTACTAAATGTTTTTCCTCATGTTGCGTGCAGTTACATGTTTCCGCCAGAGAGGTCGCCAGATCCTCAAAACTTATTGTAGCTTTGTAGCATAATGTACGTTTTACTAGATGTTGGTTAAGCCCCCCAGAGGTCTCAACTGTCTGTCTTTTTTATAATTAATTTTATATTGTATTTATCTTGTACAAGCCTAAAGTAGCTAAATTGGAAGATGTGGTGTCATTTTTCAGTTCAGCAATAGCGTCTGGGTTCTGGGAGTCAGCTGTTTAAATTTTTAAAGAAAAATTAATGCTGTTTTTCTAAAATTACCCTCATTGTGCTGTGTGAAGTGACAGAACATTAATCTGCTCACATCGTCAACAGTGGTAAAGAACCAATTTGCTTTAGATCAGTTAACATACGGACACAGTTGTTGGTTAAATCTGTAACGCTTAACTGTTTCAGAAATGGAAATACATCAGGAACGTTAAAGTTGTATCATATCACTATCTTTAGCTGGCTAGCACGTTGCAAGCAATACTCGGTTTTTTATGGAGGCGTCCATGTTTTTCCCATTTTATCGTTGGAATGTGCAGAAGTTGAAAATGACATAATGCCCACTTCTGAGCCAAGTCGAAGGCAGCATTAAATCTAGTGTGGAGACACCTCATTTAGCTATATATATATATATATATATATATATCAAGATCATTGGACCAAAAGAAACGGCCCAGAATTACTTGGACAAAACATCTTGTTCCATTGACTTACATTAAAAGCAAAGTATGTTTTTTCCTTCTTCTGTAAAGTTAGTATTTTGGAGATATGAAGTTCCGACAGCAGTGATATATACCAGTGGTGGAAACTCCCATAGATACAGCATTGTAGTTATTATAGAGGCACTGTTGTCAGATCTATCATGGAAATGGGGCAGACAGAGCGAGACTGTTTTAGAAAAAACAACTCTGATCATTTCAGCATTAACACTCTGATCTTTTTCTCTGTTGAAGTGTGTGGGTGTGTGTGTGTGTGTGTGTGTGTGTGTGTGTGTGTGTATCGGTGGTGGGGGGTGTGCCGGAGTGTGTGAGAGATAACAGAAGTGAGAGTGGTAAAAAAAAGGCAACATAATGACATCCTCAGGGTGAGAGACCTTGTGTTTATGAGAGAGAGAGAGAGAGAGAGTGAGGAGAGGTGGCTGAGCAAGATTATTACCCTCTACGAAGCAGAGCAAGGAATCACAAGGAAAGAGTGGGAGGTTGAGGAAAAGAGCAAAGGAGAGAGAGAGAGGGAGAGAGAGAGAGAGAGAGAGAGAGAGAGTGGTGAGGGGGTGGACACTTACTAACAGACATTAGTCAGTGAGGTACATGTACTCTTTCTCTCTTATTTTCTCTTTCTCCCTCTCTTTCACATGGTCTTTCTCTCTCCAGCTGTTTTGCTTCACACTGAGCTCGGTGAGTTTGTCTGACACTATAGCTGTACACATATATGCATTAGCAGCCTGCAAGAACAGCACCTATAGTGTCAGGGAGACTTCCTGAGTGTCAGCGGCATTTTTGGAAATCACCCATATCACATCCGGTGGTAAACAAACATGTTCCAGACGGGTTATTAGGTGTGAAATATGAATATTGCTACATACGTGGTACGTACAAGCTAACATTCTTTTGCATTGTCATCACTAAATTGCATGAAAGTAAAGCTACTTCTATAACAATATACTACTTAAATATTCTTACACAGTACTTTAGTTTAGTACTTTATTTTCCACTGAATATGGTCATTAATTATAAGTTATTAGTTTTTCTGGAGATATTTCTGAGGAGATTAGATTTCAGATTATATAGTTGGATAAAGAAGGAGAAAGTCAAATGAAAATAAGTTTAAAAAGAGGGGTTTCCAAAACTGGAGTTTTCAAAAAAATAATAATAATAAAAGCAGAGAAAATGGGCCTCCTAACAACCGCCTGAAAGACCTGGTAGACACCAGAACTGCCCCCATCAGATAAACAGCACTTAAAGCTTCCATCTTTGAGAGAGAGGAGAAAATGAAACTGCTTCAGATCTGAAAACATCCACAGGTGTTTCTGTCCATCCTTCCACTGTGAGAAGACGACTCAGTGCTGTGGGTTTGAAAGGATGTGTAGCTGTCAAGAAGAACCTCACTGAGAAAAGGAGACGGACACATCAAACAAAGAAGCTGAACAATGGACTGACCACCCCAGTTGAGTCCAGACCTCAACATTATTGTATGTGTTTGAGATTACTTGGGTCATGCAAAGCAGAAAGTGCAACCAACTTCTGAGACTAAACTTCAAAGGTGTGGAAAAAGATTTTGCTGATGCCGATTTCTTTCAAAAACTGAAATCAAGTCTCCTGAGAAGAATGGAAGCAGTCGTCACTGTCGTGACAACCAGCCCCCTATATCTCCTATATCGTTACTCCAAAGAACCCTTTTGGTGCTTTTATTGTGAAGAGCATATGTTGATTAAACTAATTCAGAGCACTGAAACAGGAGCAGTTTTTCAGCAGCATCGTTACAGCTGGACAGGTGGAGCTGATCCTACATCAGCAGTCGTCCTTCGAGATGCTTGATAATTATGGAGCTGTTACTCTTTTCATTGGAGCTGTGGCTCCAGGGTGAGTTCATTATGGAGCGACCTGTTCATTCTCTCTATCTCTCTCTCTCTTTCTTTCTCTCTCAGGAGAGGAAGCTCTGCGCTCACCCGTTCCTGGAGATCTACAGGGGTCAGCTGATCCACTACATGAGCCCGCTGGCCAGGCAGGGGGATTTCTATGTGCCTGAGGTCCGAGAGGCTCCGCGGAGACCACAGGAAGGGGAGGAGTCAGAGGAGGACAGGAGGACGGACATCACCGGTAAGTTCCTCCCCTCGCGATTAATCTGTTGGATTAAAATATTGGTTCTGAGGGGTCGATCGTTGGTATTGCCTCTAAACCTTTAGTGCCTTTTACTCCACTCTTCTCCTTTAATGACTTGACTTCTTAATGCTGTTGTTGCATTTTTCGTTGACAAATAATGTGTAACAACAAAGCGGAAAATTTGTAGATTTTTACTTTTTGTTATAGACATCCATTATGAACAAACACATAATTAGGAATATGATGCACACACAGCCAATGGTCAGTGTTACTCTGATTAAACAAATCAGTAATAGGGCTCTCAAGTGGCACAACCGTCTAAGCATTGGCCATATCTTCAGAAGACCACAAGTTCGATCACTGTTAACGGCATCCGTGGCTGGGAGACCAAGACAGCATAACTGGCCTCACTCTCTCTGGATGGGTAGGATGGTCCCCCCATCACTCAGCGCGATGCTAGTCAGCGCTGGTGTCTGTCAGCTGACAGCTTTCCTCCGAGCGCGTTTGGCTGTCCAGTGACGTTGCGAGAGCGGCAGTTCTAAAAGATGCAGTGGCGCTTTACAGGTCACGGTGGAAGCCTGTGCTAGTCTTCACCCTCCTAGCGCTGGTGGAATTGTGTGACTCGGGGAGTAATAACTAGGGGTGGAATTGGAGACGTCTAAATTAGGGAAGAAAATTGGGAAAAAAAGAACAAAACAAAAAAAAAACAATAATAAGTGTTTCCATATCGATTGCATTTTAAGTGTATATGCACACACGCTCAGAAACGATCACAGCCAATAATAAAGGCAGCAAGGTGCTTCTTTAATACAGTGATAGGTAAAAAAAGTATGCACAGAAATCTCCACACGCTGATCCATTGTACCGTGGAAAATGAAGACGTGCGTGCTTACCAACCACCCCGGGGGCGATTTTAATCACTTAAGGAAGACAAAGACACAGTTGGTACTATTGTTTATGTTATTTTATCAAAAGTAAAGCAAATCTGACTCATTTAAAAACAAAATATACCTGTTTGCTGCCCCCTATTTTATTTGCATGAAGGTCATTTCCAATTAAATAACCACGTGAGTCTGCAAAGCTGTATTTCTCAAGTGATTTCTATCTGTGAAGCCGGAGCGAGGTACAGCACTGAAGAGTGGATTAATTTGGCCCATTTCTGCCAGGTAGAATAGAAAAAAGTCACCTGCTATCACCTTTTTATTTCAAAACATAAAATATTATGTCGAAATAATAATAACAAATCATTTTTGTGAGATTATGCTTTCACATAAAAAATTCTGTACCACTTTCATTTTTTTCACCTTTTCTGTGTAATTCAGTGGTAAAGATGTGAACAAAGCCATTCAGAGTGGTTTGATGTGAAGTGGTTGATTGTAGAGACTAAGATTTCTTTACAGTGGTGGTGAATGGAACCAGAGGTTGCCATGACTACAACACAAATATAGCCATTTTATTTACTATCCAGAACCATCAGTGAACCTACACGTGTCTTCTGAGTGACAAATGTAATGTTGATGATTGTAAAATGGAGATAAATCTGAAAAACTATGGTTTGGATACTATTTTGCCCTGCGTGTAGCCCTCCACCATGGCTAGAAAAAGAATTAAATACGTTTTAGGCCAAAATCGTATCGCAAAACTATCGTAAACAGTGTCTCTGGTATCAGGTGGTGTATTTGTAACCATTTTATGTATGTAAGAGAGCTTTAGTGGTGGATGTCTGGTTCCTATCACCACCACTGTGAACAGTTCTGACTCTGTTTCTGTAGAACGGAGCATTTCACACCATGCAAACCACTCTGAATGACTCTGTTTTCATCTGAACCATTTAATTATACTGATCATTTGACTTTTACATTATGTGGAGGTTCTTTAAACTTTAAAAAGATTCGTCACACTCGCACATCTCATTTTAAAAAAATGGTGCTCTAAAGAACCATCCCTTGAAGGGTTCTTTAGGGAACCAAAAATGGTTCTTCTATGCAATTGTGCGGAACCCTTTTTGGGACCTTCACATTGAGAGTGTAGTGTGATTGTGGATGTCCAGTGGTGCTGGAACTTGTAGAGTGGAATAAAAAAGCCTGGCTGCTCTGTTTGTGTGAGGGAGAGTGAGAGGTTTGATAGATCCTCTCAGCAGGAGCCGGAGGACGTGTTGTACACACCAGCTGTCCCGCTGCGTGTGTGTGTGTGCGCGCTCTCGTAGGTGTGCTGACCCCACCGGTCAGTCTGCCACTCTTCAGTCTGTGGAAGGTTTTATATAAACTAACATAACTGGACCAGAGAGGTGTTGTAATTATCTCCATAACACAGTCCAGGTTCCAGGTTGTGGGTGTTGTTTGTGTGAATGTTTTTACACGGCTCTTCCCTGCTGACCGCTCCCACAGTGTACAGCTTCTGCTAGTGACCACGACCCATATGCAGTAAATATACCGGAATAAAACAGCATCCCAGCATTTGGTTAAACGGAAAACGGCAAACTGGACATTCCATGTCTTAGAATAGGAAACAGCGCTGGAGCAGCAATGCTGTGGTCACTAGAATGTTCCACCAAGAGTCCAGTTTTCCCAGTATTGCCCCTTCACACTGTTCCAGAATGTTCTAGCTCATTAATGCATAGATCTAGAATGTTCTCCCCATTCACACTCCTCTTTAAAGTTCTCGCTGTTTCAGGACGATCTAAAATGTTCTCACCATTCACACTGTTCTACAATGTTCTCCCTTAATCACACTGTTCTAGACTGTTCTTCCTATTCAGACAGTTCTAGAATGTTTGCCCCTGTTCATACTGTTCTAGAACATTCTCCCCATCCACACGGTTCTTAGATGTTCACACTGTTCTTGGTTTCTTCCCCATTCACGCTGTTCTAGAATGTTTTTCCCCTTCACTCTGTTCTAGAATGTTCTCTCCATTGTCAGTGTTCTAGTTCTAAACTGTTCTTTCTATTGACAGTTCTAGAATGTTCTCCTCTGTTCGTACTATTCCAGAGCGATCTCCCCATCCACACTGTTCTTAAATGTTATCTCCACTCTAACTGTTCTAGAGTCTCCTACCCATTCACACTATTCTGGGGTTCTCCTCCATTCACACTGTTCTAGAATATTGTCCACCATTTGCATTATTATATCTGTTAATGAAGTAATGTTCTTTTTTATTTGAGGGTCCCATTTCGTAGGGAAGACTTCAACCACTACCCCTTGTAACTCAGTTCTAAGGGGCAAGGTGACACTCGAAAACAAGGGGTAGGGGTAAAAATAAGAAATGGGATTGGCCCTAAAATTACCCAGCTACCCAGAAGCACTGATAAATTAAAGTGGGAGGCTGAAATGCTGCATGTTAACCCTCTGAGGACGAGAACTGATGTCTTTATGTGAGAACATGTTATCAGTTCACTTTCTCTGGCGACTCAAGGGTTACAAAGTGATGTTTCTCCAAGGCCTCAAAGCGTCGTAGGAAAGTGCTGCTCTTTCATCACTCGAAGTGTTCTGTAGATTTCTCATTGGTTCAGCACTTTGATGGTGGCTGAGGATGTTTTTCCAGCCATGACTATATTAACATGTCTTCTGATCACACAAACGCAGACGCCTGCGCTGAGAATGAATCAGCAAGATCAATTTATACATTTTAGCACACGTCCCCGCAGCGACAGACATCGTGTGCAAAAATGGATGAATGTTTAATGAGGGAGCTGCCGTGGAACTGTCTCCGAGCTGGACATCCTGCACGTCAGTTTGGACTCGTCAAAGCCTGGAAGGACTACATTTTTAAAACTAAACAGATCACATTAATCACAACCAGCTGGACGATTTGTGTTTATGCAAAAAAAAATGCAGCGTAAATTGGAAAGGACAATTTCTTAGTGATATTATGATGAATTATTCTTATTTAGAGTGTATGATGGCTAACAGTGCTTCTAGACCACCGAACAACTGCATGGATGGAAAACGACAGACTTTGTCCAAGTACAGACATCAACAACCAGTGTACACTCAAATGCAAAAGTTTGTACACCCCTAGTAAAATGACACGTCTTGACTTCTAAGTGAAAATAAATTAACACACCCTCCAACACACTTCATCACATTTTAATGTACAGTTTCTTTTTATGTGAGTTTAACATATGGAAAAACCTAAAATATGGTTAAATTCAGTAATCGTGCCTTAAAATGTGCAGAAAAGTATAAAACTGTCACTGGGGCAGTTCCCCTCCTGTCACTGGGGTGGTACCCTCAAGGGTCCATCTCAGCACCTTTAGTCAGGGAACATAATTGTACCATAATCCACTGAAATTATATTTTCTAAGTTGTACTGACTCCACACACCCCGTCTCGTCTCCAGGCTTTTATTTTATTGTTCTGTTTTAAAACATTAGATTATGAAAAGGTACAAATACAAACTTTTTACCTGGAAAAAACTTTAAGGTTCACAACTGGACCTTAAAACCACTGTTGTACTTTTGAGGGGAGATTTGCATTGTTTGTACCTTGATGAATGAAAAATGTACCTGAACAGAACCTTTATTTCACAGTGTAGAGGATGTGTTAACTTATTATCACGTAGAAACTCAACAAAACATGAAACATGTCATTTGACCAGGGGCACCCAGACTTTTTAGTACGACTGTATAGCAATTGAATTTTATTTATTTTTACCAAATGTTTATACCAAAGTGTTTCTTCATTATTTTTGCAGAGATTGAATTAAACTCAATGAGCTTATAGTGTTTTATAGCCTTTTCAAGTGTGGCATTCCCAGTGTTGGGGAGTAGTGAGCAACATTAGTAGTTAACTAGTAGTTTAGCTACAATTCGCTGTAGGATGCTGGTCGTTCAACTACATTCATATTTGAATGATTGAAGTAGTTAAATTACTTTTTTTTTTGCCATTTTTGTGTAGTTAATTACTGAAATTACAAACGATTTTGGGCCATAAAAAGCTGGCATTCCTTGCACATTTCCATGAATAGTGGGGTATTTTTTTATTTTTTGTTGGTTTATATATGACCTATGACAAACCATGACAAATGGACTCTATTTGCAATAAACTTAATTGTGTGGCATTTTTTGCTAGTATGTGATTTTTTGTATTGTATTTTGTTATAATTTCACATCTGTGTTGTAAATTTGATCATTTTTTCACAAAGTAGTTTGAACAGCTTTAAGTAGCTTTAGTTAACCACACTACATGCATTTAAAGTAGCTTCCCCAATACTGAGCATGCCAAGAAAGACTAAATGTTGTGATATATAGGGTAACTTGGGGAAGAAACACATCAGGGTAAGATATCCCACGCCCTTACTTTCTCTCCTGATCGAATGACGAGCCCAAATCTAGACTCATCAGATTTACTGGATAGTCATGATCTGACTAATACTGAAATTTCATCTGGATCACTGCATTTCTGGGACTTATCCCCCCAGAAAATGTCGAGGGTCAGCAAACCTGAACTTTTGTCATTGGACAGTGCTTTATGCAAAAATACACAAGAAAAGTTACTAAAAATGTTGTGCAGAGTTGTTAAAAAGGATTATATGAGTAGATTTATGTGGAACTTTTTTTTGTTTCTTTAAAAATAAATGTAATGTTAGATCTTTGGGGCAAGATGTCCCACCAGACATGGGGCAAAATGCCCCCTTTAATATTGTCCCAGGCAATATATGTGGGGCAAGATGTCCCAGGGACAGATGCAAAGTTTGGTCACCCTGGTCACCCTTACTATTTTGTATGTTGATTTGGTTGAAGTGAGAATAAGTTTCTCACAGAGTCCTCTACAGAGAACTTAAATATGACTCCTTTCTGCTGATTTTTATTTGTTGAAATATATTGTTTAATATATCGAAAAAAAATAAAACAAAATATAAAATGTGCCTTAACTTTTGCACAGGCCACATTTTATGTTTTATTTTTACCCACGTTGTGTTAAGAGTAGGAAATAAACAGTAATAGTGTATAATAGTGTATTAAAATGTACAGTAGTCTGCTCTCTGTAGAGGGTGCGTTCACTTATTTACACTTAGAAAATCAACAAAACATGTGACCAGGGGTGAAAGTGTCTTATATTTTTGCTGCATCACCAACGTTAGCATAGATGCATTCTGAAGAACCAGATTTCCTTCTCACCTGTGCTTTTTCCTTTCCCTCTCTCTTCTCTCTACTGTCTGCCCCTCTCTCTCCCCTTTTGTGCTCTCTGTGGTCAGTCTCAGTAACGTTGCCATGACAGAATTATATAAATAAATAAACATATGGTGGCTGATGAACCCAGCGTCAGTCTGTCTGTGAAGTGCTGATGGAGGCAGGAAACAGCTGGAAGGCAGGACACACCCTGTCGCTTATCACTGTGAAAGTGACGCGTGCCTGTGTGTTTGTGAGAGCAGTACATACACACTTCATCATAGTCGGGAGAGTTTTTGTGTCTGTACTTTTTTTTGAGTCATTCAGTAACATTATGAAAACTAATGGTACTTAGCTTATGAAAGCTAGTGGTAACTATGAATGAAAACAAGTGGTATATAGTTACCACTATAGTGGGAACTATGAATGAAAGCTGTGAGTGAACTGTCGTGTTAAGAAAGCTAGTGGTGATACGTTAGTGTTACGAAAGTTAGTTATAAGTATGGCGAAAGAAGAAACTAGCATTAGCCGTTTGTTGTCAAGCTGAAGTAAATGCGTTTATTCGGGTCTGAAAACTGAGTGTGCTGGCCCTCATTATCATGCTGTTACCAGGCCAGCGTTTCTCCTTCTTTGGCGCGTTTCTGAAGGTCTAGAGTCAGCACTATGATGCTTCTCTCCAATTAAAAACAGTAAAAGTGTGACAATACTGTTTACTGAGGCTGCAGAACGCTAATTATCTGGAAAGGTCTCGTGTTTCTCAGCCACCCAGACACACTTACATGTAGACACACACAAACACATCAGCCTGACTCTCAAATACACACACACACACACACACACACACACACACACACACACACACACACTCCCTTACATACACACAATTGTCTTTTGACTCCACAGAACACTAATTATCCTGAAAGGTCTCACATTCAACAGCTACACACACACACACACACACACACACCTCTCACGGCGAACTTCAGAAAGTTCTGCTAATTAACTAGCTGTTACCCGAGAACGGAACGCTGGAATGGCAGACTACATAGAGCGCCAGAGCTCTATTGAGCGAACGCGCAGGAGTGTGCTGATTTATGAGAGAGGAAATTTATACACAGCACTTAATTACCTGTTTGGCCTGGTTAGCTGTGAGCCTCACACACTGAGATTCACCTGCACGCTGACTGAGTTTGTGCCTTTTTGTCTGTGCGTTTACATACATGTGTGCATCCCACTGTAGACCTGTTGGTGCAGTTATGTGCGTGCTTATATGTATGAGTACAGTCATGTGTGTGAGAATGCACTTGTTTTCGGGTATTTTCTGGACAAAAGTGGACAGAAAAACAGTCCTTCTGGGCTAACAGAATGAGTTATTAATTTGTGCGCACTGAGGGTAAGATTAGGTTTCGGATTAGGCTTGGGAAATTATTACATATAGGTAAGTACATACTGTTTTTCATTTTTTGGCATAATTGGAAAATGCCAGCTGCCCTTTACAATGTGTTAAAATTTCATGATGGACCAATAGAAACCAAAATGTAACATCTTTAAGACAAAAGGATCCAAGTATATATATACATATACACAGATCAGGCATAACATTATGACCACCTCCTTGTTTCTACACTCATTGTCCATTTTATCAGCTCCACTTACTATATAGGTGCACTTTGTAGTTCTACAGTTACAGACTGTAGTCCATCTGTTTCTCTGTATACTTTGTTAGCCTTCTTTTACCCTGTTCTTCAGTGGTCAGGACCCCCATGGACCCTCACAGGGCAGGTACTATCTGGGTGGTGGATTATTCTCAGCACTGCAGTAACACTGACGTGGTGGTAGTGTGTTAGTGTGTGTTGTGCTGGTCTGAGTGGATCAGGCACAGCAGTGCTGCTGGAGTTTTTAAACACCTCAGTGTTACTGCTGGACTGAGAATAGTCCACCAACCGAAACTGCGTCCTGTGGGCAGCGTCCTGTGACCACTGATGAAGGACTAGAGGATGACCAACACAAACTGTGCAGCAGCAGATGAGCTATCGTCTCTGACTTTACATCTACAGGGTGGACCAACAACGCAGGTGCGTCTAATAGAGTGGACAGTGAGTGGACACAGTGTTTAAAAACTCCAGCAGCACTGCTCTGTCTGATCCACTCGTACCAGCACAACACACACTAACACACCACCACCACGTCAGTGTTACTGCAGTGCTGAGAATGATCCACCACCCAAATAGTACCTGCTCTGTGAGGGTCCATGGGGGTCCTGACCACTGAAGAACAGGGTAAAAGGGGGCTAACAAAGTATCAGAGAAACAGATGGACTACAGTCTGTAACTGTAGAACTACAAAGTGCACCTATATAGTAAGTGGAGCTGATAAAATGGACAATGAGCGTAGAAACAAGGAGGTGGTCATAATGTTATGCCTGGTCGGTGTATATATATATATATATATATATATATATGTGTGTGTGTGTGTGTGTGTGTGTGTTGGCATTTGTTTCATAGCTTTATGAAAATATATAGTTTATAACTGTATAAAATGTATAAATATATACATTTTATAAATAAAATCCCTATTGAAAATATGTATAAACTGGCCTTTGTGCTTGGACACCTGTATAAAAGTTTGTCCTTGACCTCAAGTTATATGTTATTATAACATCATTATAAACCTTATTATAATAATAACACTGGGCTTACTAACGTATTAGAAGCATGTCAGAATAAAAGTCGGTTGTCAGTTGTGCCGCATGACATTTAAGGAAATCAGAATTGTTTTAAGGAAATTAAATTGTTATGTATGTATTTTGATAAATTGATAAATGGAAAAATGGTAAATCATTTTTAAAACCATGTTTGTATGTGTACACATGCAGGTGCAGACTCCCACAGTGAGTGCAGCTCCGTGAGCTACCTGCTCCCCTCAGACAGTCGACATCCGTCTCTCGCCCCGTCCGACACCCCGTCCACCCTGTACCAGGACAGCTGGCGAGACCGGGACTCACCCGAGCTCAGTGGGTCTGACCTGGACAGTGGGCGGAGCTACAGAAGCTCTACTGCCTCATCCTTTGAAGAGCTGGACGTAGAGTCAGACCGGGCGGCACCGGAGAACGACCAAATGCCTGACAACCCAACGGAGGATAAAATCACTCATCAGGAAGAAGTGATGGTGGTGGAGGGGGAGGAGTGAGAAACATGAGAATGGAACATATTGGAATATGTTAGCGACATATTACAAAATATCATAAAGATGTACCGTAATGTAGAGAGATTGTCGGTTAATAACTCAGTGGGGTTTTAAATAGATGTGGATGTTTTGACTGTAAAGAGTATTTTGGGAAATTATAGTTTTAAACTGATACAGATCTTACAGATTTAACCGTTTGTGTGGTTGAGTATCAACGTGTTCGGTAACGTTTTGATTGACGAGTATTTTAAGAGTATTTCTTTGTTTTGACCAAATATTCAGAAGAGGTTGTGCCTCTTCCTGAAGGGAACCAGTACACACTCCTCCACTTCAGGAGTTTCACCTGTAGGACTTGAGAACAATACTTGAAAACAGTTTGAACCAGCTAGCCTGGATTCCTTACATCCATCTTCCAGCACCTTCTTTAGTATTTATGACTGAACGATCAAACATTTCTCATTTAAATGAAGATTTCTGTGTTGTTTATGGTAGTGATTTAGATATTTTTATGACTGTTGTGTTACTGACATCTAAAAATCCAACATGGGCTGAAAGTGATTACTCATGCCTGTGTCATTTTTTTTATTCTAGATGATTCCGTTATATAAAGCGTTCGATTTTTTGACAATGTTATGCAACGTTTGAGTTATTTAGTTCATTATAAAAGTCCTTAAAAAATAAAGACCTTTAATACAGACTTAATGTTTGCCATATATCAAAGCCATATATTTTTATAGCAAAACCAAATGTTTATCAACAGGAAATACTGCAATGGGAGAAGATTTCCAAGTGTGTAGTGGGTTAGATTATATTTTAATTATACGAATGACATTTTTGTGAGTCTTGGTGATCACTTGAATTTTGGTTTTGCATTTCAATTTGGAGCTATTGTGTCATTCTTGTTTGTTTGTTTATTTGTTTTTTCTTTAAAAAAAGTACTGTTTCAACGTGCCACTGATTTTTTTTTTTACTTGTGGAAAAATGTGTCAAGCAAATTCTCACATCTCAATGAGACTTAAATTGTGATTGTGATGATTTTATCCCTCCAGGCTCTTGACGAGTCCTAAGTGTGATTTAATAAAGTATTTTTCACACTGTTTATTGTATTCAGAGGTGTGATAATGATTTGCACCATTGCTTGTAGTTGGCAGTGGTATCGTCAGCACTGGCTGTTCCAAAGCCAGAGCAGGACCTGCCAAACCTTTCAGTTCAGTACAAAGACTAGAGTTCTTGCAGAACCAGAATAGTTCAGTCCTAGACTCTGAGTTCCTTATTTGTGTTTCTTCCCATTGATTAGGCCCACTTACTTTCTTTATTCATTCTTCAGTGTTATATATTCATTATTCTCAAAACTCTTATGGCTGTTATTGGCTGTGTCCAAAACTGAGGGCAGCTGTCTCGATGCTTTGCTGTCTGTGCTGTTTCAAAAGTCACTGCCTGAGACCCCCAGAAAGGTCCTTTGAGAACGCTAACATGCTAATCTTTTTATAAACAAAATAAAAATGTTGTATTTGTATCCAAACTGGTCTCAACTCCCCCACCTGACAGTGCTGGTGTCTCCTGCTATTTTTTCCTAACCGCATTAGTGCTGACACAGAGGATTATGGGATATGTAAGGCAGCAAAGGATACATCTACACTGCCTTCCAAAAACGGCTGAACGGGGAACCTCAGCAGGCAGCGCTATACAAACATTCAATTCAGACATGAATCCATTTGCTAGGATGTTCTAGGGGCTTACTTTGGTTCCTCTATGGGGATTACTACATGGTAGCTATGGTATTCCAGGTGGTTGCTAGGCAGCATATATATATATATGCCACCTATACATGTTCTAGCGTATGTCCTCCTGTGTCAGAATACTGACTGAGTCGGCACCATTTATTCTGTTTTAGACACGGCTGTAGTGTCATTGCTAGCTGGTGTCGAATAAAGGAGGATGGGCTCCCATTCTGAGTGTTAGTGCCTCTCAACATTTCTTCCTCTTGCTTTTAGTGAGTTTATCCTTGTCACTTTTGCACTTGTTCTGCTCACTAGGGCCAGCTAGTGGCCACACTAGCTACTTTGTGACTACACCAGTTGTGTCAAGCGCTATAGACAAATGTGAAGTTCCGTGTAAATAATAAATAATCAGGACAAACTAAAAGGGGAAAGTTTGTGAACAAACTTCAGATTGTTATGAAGTCAGCTAATGATGCTTGAAAAATTTGCTGATTGTTTTTGGTAAAATAACTGGGTTTATATAGCAGTCCAGGTCATTGCTAGGGTGTTGCTAAGTTTTTGCCTTGGTGTTGTTATGTGGTTGCAATGCCAATTCCATTTGTAGCTATGGTATTCCAGGTATTCCAGGCGGTTGCTATTATATATATATAAAATGTATGAGTATAAAATAGTAGTATTATATCATATAGTATATAATATTATACTCTGTGAAAGTCTATAAATAGTTTTACAATCTTACAACTACAAGTTTCTTGTACATTATACTGACAGCCAAAAGATAATAAACAATTCTGTTTTTGGCAGAAAGTGATACATAACATTGATGCACCAGTTACATTAATATGAATCTAAGATTTTACGTATTAAAAGATCTTTTCTTTCTTCATGTATTTGTCTCTTTCCTTGCTTTTTGCCTCCTTTTACCTTCCTTATCTTTTCATTTTCTCCCCCTGCTACCTCTCCTCCTCCACTCTCGTACCAGCTGTTGCCAGTCTGTGCGTTCGTCATGTTGTTAACAGCAGGGGGTTCAGATTCGGCCATATTTAAACAGACTTGCATCTGACAGCCTGCAGACGGTTCTTTTCTCCACAACTCCATCCACTCAAACAGGCTGCACATGACTGCATTTACACATGAGACGCAGAAGTAGTAAAAGCTGCTTTAGTCCCATGACCATTAGGCACTACTACACTCCTAAAAAAGATGGTTCTTCAAGGGTTCTTTAGTAAAGAAAATGGTTCTATAGAGAACCATGAACACTCAAAGACCCCTTTGCATGATTAAAGGGTTCATTTAATGGTGAAATGTTTCTTCAGATTGATGGAGAACGTGGTGTAAATGGTCCTATATAGACCCTTTTTGAAAACTTTGTGGAGGTTCTCTGAACTGTAAACAGGTTCTTCATACCTGCAAGTCCTATTTACAAATAGTTTTTAATGAAATTTTGGAAAAAAAAAATTTTTGCACAATTTTCTCCAGATGTAGTTGATCAGCTGAGATGTTAGGGAATCCAAATTTTGCTTCTTTAGCTTAGCGCTGGAGCTACGAGGCTAACGTTGCTAACAAACACTACGACTCAGTTGTCACCAAATCATTTCTGTAAACACATCTCCACAACTTCTTCTTGCAGACGTATATAGACTTTAAAGAACCTTTTGGAAAAGTGCTCTGTATAGCACCAAAAAGGGTTCTGCTAGTGTCATCAAGCTTGTAACTATAGACAAACCCTTTTTGGTGCTATATAGAACCCTTTTCAAAAAGGTTCTAGGGTTCATTCCAATAACGTTCCTTTCTAAAAGGTTCTGCTATTGTTACGATGTCATGCCTGTAACAATTGAAGAACGCTTTTTAGTGCAAAGAACACTTCAAGCATGCAAATGGTTCTTTGAGTGTTCTTGGCTCTAGATAGAACCATTTTCATTACTAAAGAACCCTTGAAGAACCATCTTTTTTAGGAGTGTACTTAAAGCTTTCATCTTTGAGAGGGAAGAGAAACCCTTTTCACCAAGGTTCCAGATCTACCATCTGGATTCTCCATCATTCTGAAGAACGCTTTCATGATGCAAAGGGTTCTTTGAGTGTATGTGGTTCTATATTGAACCATTTTCTTTACTGAAGAACCCTTGAAGAGCCACCTTTGTTTTTTAAGTATGTAGTTGTTGGGGCTTCTGTGAAATTTTCCGAAAACTATGAAAAATATAAAATTCTGATATAATTTATAATTTTCCAGACACTGAAGAATGAATAACATACTAACCTACTCAGTGGTTATTTTTATTTGTAAATTAAATAAATGAAGGGTGAACAGTGACTTTGCAGTACTGATGGTTTTGGAGCTCTTTCATTAACCACAGAGTGTGACGGAGGTGATTTACAAAGTCATATATAACAGTTTAAATTCATGCTACAGTTTAAAGTATTCAAGTAATTTACCGTTTATACATAAAATGATGTTTTTGTACATATGTGAAAAGCATTACGGTTTCCTTGATCAGAAGCTGCGGTGGTACAGTGGGTAGTGCTGTTACAGCAAGAAGGGCCCGGGTTTGATTCCCTGACCAGGCGACCAGGGTCCTATCTATGTGAAATTTGTATGTGCTCCCTAAGTCTGCGTGGGTTCCCTCCCACTATCCAAAGACATGCAGTCAGGCCAACTGGATATGCTAAATTGCCCCTCGGTACGAGTCAGTTGCTGCGTTCCAAAGCCGAGGCTGCAGCCGAGGTAGTGCGGTTCCTCGGTAGGACTGTCCTATGAAGACTCTTCCTTAGTAGCCTATTGGTCACACAAAGGGAACAGTCCTAACGAGGCTGCGTGGTGACGTCACCAGAAAGGTCCCGCCTCTTGCAATTGTGGTGCAAAACTTGTGAGGGAACTGGTGAGAGACTGTTGCATTGTGTTTGTTGCTATGGTAGCTGATACGCAAACAAGCTTATGTAGTACGATAAACTACATTAAATACATATACTTCTAAATAAAATCCGATATCATTTTACACTTTATAAGGTCATGAAGACGAATTGAAAGACATGAACAGTTTATAAAACCTTTAAAACAAGCTCTTCTCCAACAGCTCTGTTTTCCGCCATTTTCGTGGTGTTGTTTGTTTAACTTTGCGTCATTTGTGCACAGAGAACTGTGGGCCTGGAAGGAGACATCAGTTGTGTCCTTGAAATCACTCAGAACGTAGTCTGCATTTCTAGGCTGTATACGAAAGATACTTCACTTTGGAGCAGCCTTCTATGATGTAGTGGCAGAGAAATGCAGCCTAGGCTTTGGAACACAGCTATTGTGTGAATGCCTGTGTGTCTGTCCTGTGATGGACTGATGACCTGTCCAGGGCGTTTCCTGTCTTCCACCATAAGCACTGGGACAGGCTCCAGCACCCCCAGCAACCCAGGAGGATAAGCAGCTTAGAAAATATGTGTGTGTGTGTGTGTGTGTAATCAGCTTCCTTGAAATAAGTGTAAAATGGTAACAAACCATCAATAAAATCAGTGCTTGCCTCTCCAAGGGTTAAACCCAATGTTCATCCAGGCATCCAGGCTGAAAGGCTTGAAGGCAAACAAGCACCGGAGACCTCTTGAATAAGACACTGAAGCTGACCAGCCAACACACTGTGGCCTTCTGTGGACTGCGCCAATGCTTCTCGGACACATAAAAGACAAAATTCTGCAGTGTCAGAATGCAGTTTACCCAGCGGCTGGTGCACCCAGCTGTTTGCCTCCAGTGCTGGAGGGGAATGGTATCATATTGGTGGTTTCAATAAAGCATCGCTAGCTTTTAAAATCCTCAGCGGGAAATTGCTGCCATGGCCTGAACCTGTTTACTGACTTTAATATGGTACAATCACTTTAGTGACGAGCTGAGATGTTTCCATCCACATCCATGTTAAAGTATAATCTGTGCAGGTGAAGATCTGTCCCAGGTGACAACCTTGTAGCATAAGATTTGTGGTCCGGCTGAAGATGTATGATTTTTCATGGTCAAGGGCAACATTTGTCAGAGTCCATCTACAGCCTGCCTCAGTCTGAGATGAAAGAGCAGTAATTCAAGAGCCTCTCTCTCTCTCTCTCTCTCTCTCTCTCTCTCTCTCTCTCTATCTGCCCTTTCTATCACTAGTTAAGTCATCTCCGTGTGTCTTCTTGAAAGGAGTCAGCATTACAAATTAGGAACTGTCGGAAATGACTGCAGTCAGCAGGAAACTCTCAAAGATAATGTCTGGCCATGGTCCATTCGGTAACAGCATCTTCTCAGACACTTTTTTGGCTACTAGTGCTGACATTAAAAAAAAAAAAAGTTGAAAATGTTGTCAGCGTCTCAACAAAACTTCATATATCTGAAATAGAAACTTTATATGAGAAGGAAACAACTTTCTTA